ATTTTTATATAACATGAGAGGCTTTGGTCAAGTTGCATTTTATTCATATATTCAAGTCCAATTATAACAGCAATATCTCTGGTTTAAAGATGGTCTTTCCTCTGCTACTTCACCTTTGTACATTCCAAAGATACATGTCTTGATACAAGGTAAGTTAATTCTACTTTATTAATCTTTTTCAAAATGTTTTAGCAACTTTAAAGTCTTTTGTCTTCCATATAAACTTTAGAATAACCTTGTTTATATACTGTATAAAAATCTTTCTATAATTTTGACAGAAATTGTATTAACTCCTACTAGACATACTGTATACTGAATATATTATACTGAATTTTCAGATAGTATGCTGCACTTTTCAATTTGTGAATATAGTATGTCTCTCACTGGACTCTTTAATAATTGCTTTCATAAATGAAATGTAGGTTTTCCACTACACAACTTCTACATTTTAGGCGAGTCTTCCACTTATGTATTTCATTTTATAAGCAACGGTAGATTTCCGTATCCACATATTCATGGCTAGAACACATCATTAAATTGTTCTGTAGATGTTAATATGTAGACGGCCACCTTACTGCACTAACTTATCAGCTAGATGTAGTTCAGCTACACTCCAAATGTTCTGCAGACGAGCCTGTCATGTGCGAATGGAGAGTTTTATTTCTTCTTTTCAATCTATTTGTTATTTCGTTTTCCTGCTTCATTGCAATAGCTACAACTTTCACAATAATTTTTAGTAAGAGTGGAGAGGGGAGAAAACCCTAGATTTTTTTTCCCCTAGATTTTAGGAAAAAAAGTATTCTTGCTTTTATCATTAAAATACCTGTAGTTTTTATAGATTTTTTAAAAGCAAGTTGAAGTTTTCTTCTATTATTTCTTCTATTCCTATTATTTTAAGTTTTCAGGCATGAAGGAGGGCAGAGTACTTTCTGTTCAAATATTTTTAAAGCACTGACTCACTGATCCCGCGAGCAGAGATATACCATGACTTGAGACTTTTCTCTTTCTGAATTCATCTACTCACTTTTTACAAGTCTTTCTCTCAACACTGTATCTTACAAAAATGTCACATTTCATGTTTATTTATTTCACTAAATTTTTAAAACTTTCTTTTACTAATTGCTCTTTGATGTGTGGAATATGCAAGAACATTTCAAGTATTTGGTGATTTTAGTACTATCTTTACAGAGTTTCACATTTTTTTCCTATAGCTATACACACTAGGTTCTATAGTTCACAATAAATCTATTTTGGTACATGCTTCTTGAATATTTGAAAACATTGTATGTTCTGAGGTTACTAGTGGAGTCCTCTTGTAACTTCATTAGATTTCAATTGTTCACGATGTTGAGTTTTCCTGTAGCTTTGATAATGCAGATAAGGTCTTGTTTAGTTTTTGGTATTCTCAAGATTTTGGGAGAGGAGGGTGCCAGGGATCGAACTTACAACTTCACTTTTGTCTCTAGTTTTCAAAAATCTGACTGTTGTATTTCTTGATTGGTGAGCACTCAATTTTGAATCTATAAGCTTATTTTCCAAATCAGAGAACTTATTAATGAATGACTTCTTTTCGTCTGTCTACTATGGTGACTGATGGTGTCAACCTGAATAAGCTCAACTAAATTGGCTCAGCAGTTCCACTCCCAGGGGTGGAAGATCTGGATGGTACAAAGGGGAAATGTGGAAGGACAGATCTGGTTCTGTTGCTTTGGAAGAGCTCCATATTTGCTTTTACTTTGGACTTCGTCTCCTGGTCTCCAGCACAGATCTTTCAGCCTCCTGATAGGGACTCACCCAGGACACTGCAGCGAGCTCCTGGTGTACAGCTGATCCCTTCAGTCTCTGTGTGCAGACCCCCTTTCTCTGCAGGCTTCTTCATCTGACTCTGGACAGCCGTTGTAAACCAATCCTGTAAAACTTCATACATTTGCATATCTTGTGTTATATCTGTTTCTATAGCAAACACTGATATGCCTTCTTTTTTTCTTTTTTTTTTTTTTTATGTTCTTTCTTACTCTTTCTCTCTTCCTTCCCTCTGTCCCTTCCATCATTTCTTCCTTAGGACTGAGCTGCTTTTGTCTCCTCTTTCCAGGACTCTGATGCTACACAAGTATTACTGTTTTATTATTTTACTATTTTACTTCAGCCCCTCAGGTCCCTGATGTTCTGCTACATTTTCATTCCTATTAGCATACTGGAGTGTGAGTGTGTGTATGCACGCATGTGTGCACATGTATGTGACTACTGTCCCTGTACGGTTCAGACCAGACAATTTTGTTAGTCAAATTTCCAGGTCATTGATTTGTATGTCTTCTATTTCTATGCTTGGATTTTCTATTTCTTTAATAAGACTTGCTATTTTTTTTTAAATGTTCTTATAATCATCTCATATTCTGTTTTATTATGGCTTTTTAAAAATCTTTGCTGTTTTTAAGTGGATGTTTTGAAATCTTGTAATTCTAACATTTCTGACATCTTTTGATGTTGAGATCTATTGGTTGAATGTTTTCATTTAATTTAGGATTTTTCTGTTTCCTGTCATGAAGAATGATTTTCCCTAGAAGACTGGACATTTTGGATATTTGGTTATGGATTCTGGCTGTTACATAAATTTCCTGTTTCTGGTAACTTCCTGTGACATGATTCCTAGGAAAATGACAGTGGGAAGCATTGTGTCCCCTGCCTGCTGAGGACGAATGCTGCATCCTCCGGTGGTGCGATGAGTGTCCTGTCTCGCCACGTGGGCTGCACTGGCACCCGGAGGGAGGGGGACTCACTGACCTTATAGGACAAATGTGATCATAGAAGCATTAAATCTTAGGTTTTTGTCCTGGTTCTAATATTACTTATCTCTATAACTTTGGGAAAATTAATTCATCTAGGTCTCATATCTTAATATAAGAGGAAAAAGTTACATCAATTAGGCTATAGTTTCTTTTCCCAGTTAAATACTCTGATTAAATATTTAACATAAAATTCAGAAAGAATGACATTAAAAGCTCTGCATATATACACATCAAATCAACTGTATAATGATACTAATTATTCTAATTACAGTGAATTAAAACATAGTGAGGGTGATGTAATACTATCACTGAGGTCATGAAAGTGATGTCAACATGTAGCTGAAGAGATATGTTGTACCCTTGTTTTTCAAAGCCCAGACTTCTATTGACCTGCAGCAGAGTTACTTGGTGAACTTCATAAAGGTACATTTCCAGAGGTTCATCCCCAAATCAATATTTTTTTGATGAGATAGCCAACAACGATAACTTTATGATACTTCTTGAAGTTTTATGCAACTATAGAATTATGAATCATTTCTCTAAAATTCAATTTATTATTTTCAATTTTGAAGAAAAAAAAGCAAAAAAAAAATCAAACAAGAATAAATTTTTAAAAATTCAAGCTTTAGTAACCAATTACAGAATTATGATTGGGAAGAAATAAGGTCAATATTTTTAAATCAATATAATTTTTAAGGAGTTCTAAAATGCTGGTATTTTACAATCATGCAGCAAGTTTGGGTGAATTTTAGAGAAAGTAAAAAAGTGGTACAATTCTGTAACAAGCCTGATATTTTAATGAAATCTTACGATGAGCATTTCGGAGCCAAGGAAGCATTTAAGTGTAAGGCAAGAAAGAAGAACATCGGAATTTATAGTCTGGTGCAAATGAAGTTTATGTCTCACACAGAGAAGATATTCAATAAATATCAACTTTAATCATCTCAATTTCATGGAGAAAAACCTCTTTCAGTCCTAATTATTGTTTGGATGCTTTAGAAATATGAAAATATGCATTCACCAATAGGATAAAATTTAAAAATAATATGACATTCATATCAAATGCCTTTTTGTATATATCATACTGTCTTGTATGAGTATGCACATTTTTCAGATGAGATATCCCATAATGTTTGCCAAATTCTGGGAAGTCATCATGGTGCCACGTAGCCTAGCACATTAGCGTGCTTTTAAAAAGTACTAACGCTTAAAGGATACAAGAAATAACATCTGCTGTCTGTGGCAAATTTTCAATGTTTTCTTTCACTTAAGGAAAATGTTATGGGGCAATTATTATTCATGGATACAGGAATCACATCTACAAAGAAAAAGAATTTGCTCTCAAGAGGGTTACGTACTGAAAGCAGAGAAAAATTACACATTAGTGATGATAATCTGCAATTTTTGAAATCAAGGAAATACAGAACATACATGAGTTACGTTCTGCTTCTTTTTCTAAAACAACAGTGCAGTTTAGGTTAGGTCGTCTTCTTCACTGAATACACCAATGACTGCAATGTGAGCTAGGAATTCCCATTTTGTGTTTCATTACAGATGAGTAGAATCAGCTTGGACTTGTAAGCAAGAACCAGGGTTTTCCTTAAGATTCTAGATGATTAAAGAATGCTTGCAGACTTAACTCTGGAATTTCCTAACTGTCCTTACTTGCTAAGAACTTTAGATTTCATTCAAAGCAAAGATGCACATGCATGAGCGACAGTATTATCATTCATCTTACGTTTTCTAAACAATGAACATTAAGATCCAGTTTTAAGAAATATTGGGTAATTTTTAAGAATTCATACAAACTTTATTTTCTGGAGTTTAGAATATTTAATTTCATCAACATTACATTTCAGGAAAGCAAAAAAAAAAATGCTTACTGTTACTCTTTGATTTGTGTCCATATTACTAAATCAGTTTTGAGATTAAAACTGCAAATAAATGAAATGATTTTAGGAATTATAAATGCATACCATTAAGCAAACACGATGCTCTAACAAAAGAAATTTGCATGACAGCCTCTGCTCATGAACATAAGAAATGAGTTCAAGATGAGATCCTGAAGCTTATTCCCCCGACAGGAGGAATCTGTTAGTGCAGTTAAGTATTTGCAGACCTTTGCATTTCCAAATACTTTACTAATGCTGGAAACAAGACAACTCTTGGATTGTAAAACAGAACAAACCACCCTAAAACATCTGGCATACTTACACACTTTTCGCTGTCAAACACATAACACAAATGTTTGTTTGACTCAGAATCTTTGCATATGAAAGTGAATATCCGCTTGTCAGTTTTATCATCTGCACAAAATGATATTCTGTGAAGTTGGCAATTGTGCTGGACTTCCTGTGAACACAGATGGAAATAAATATCGGAAGGCACGTTTTTCCATTTTGAGAAATATCAGATTGGGTCAATAGCATATAACTTAAGACTTTCAGAGTGTAACAATCATCTGTCAGGCTTTTATGTTATAATTACATACACCCCAAATTTAGACAAAGATGCAGTGCAGATGGGTCACAAGAGCAGGAGCTAAATTAAGACATTCATTTCAAGAGTAATTAAAAAAATAAGCAAAATACAAGAGGATCACAGGTTCACAGCCCTTCAGAGGTACAAAAAAGATATTAAGGGACTATATATTTTATAGCCTGCAAGATGACATAGGGATCCAAGGAGATTAAAAACTTTCAAAAGTTTGCAGAATCAGGATAACCCTCAAAAAATCTTAATTCTTTCATTTTATGTCATTGCTACTAATATTACAGTCAGAACATAGCCTCGTCTGCACAGAATTTCACCTGAAGCTCGCTACTACTTCATCCTTAGTGTCCTTGTTGAATTTTATTCTCCATGTCATCATGGTGACTCATGCAGTCTTGAGCCTTTTTCTCAAGGAAAGACCTCTGTACCTGCAGTAATGTTCTTCACATGACTCATGGACCTTGCTAATCATGAGAAAGACAAGCGCTACAACAGAGACACAGCTGTAGACCAGGGCCACATGCATGCAGGCAAGCATGTACATATGAAATTGCTACGGCCCGTGCAAACTGTCAGAAATACCTTTAATTAAAATATGAATATGAAATAATTAGAAGAGAAAGTCCTTTAAAACTACTGTTAGCCATAAGACTGAGCATTTGATAATACTAAACTCACATATATCATCAATATTGATTATTTATTCATTTTCTAAACTTGCTGGAATTTGTTGGAGGCAGAAAACAAATCTTTTTATTGAATTATGACTGATGCCGGCATGTAAAAAAAAATCATTCCCTTTTATACTGTGGCTATAAATATCTTTTCTCAAAACTGCATTATAACACAAGGAGTATCATTTAGAAATTCAGGCCACAAATATTATTTAGTGAATGATGTAAAAATAATGTAGAGACACAAGGAAACCACAGTTTCAGTCAAGGAAAACTAGACCAACATCTCCCCAGAAAGCCTTATCTGATGTCATATCTAGTAGTGTTTCTCCACAGATAGTTTTAGACAACTTGTAACACAAATATCTGGACCACTTGCTGGAGGTATTTTCCTTGTCTTTACTCTTGCTGAGTCAGAACCTCAGAGATTTTGATCAGGAAAAGCAGCATGGATACAGTAAATGCCTTGTTCTTCCCAGCTCTGATTTTGATGTCTACGTTAACTTGCTAAGATTTGATCTGTTACTTTGATTTGCATTATCAACTAAAAATAAAATACCTAAAATGAGTCAGACTCATTAAATGCTCATGCAAACTAAAAGGTAAACCATCAAGGAGCTGCTTAGCAAATATGAAAATTAAAATGAGGAAGTACGTGGTGTAATATATAGTGGCATTCCTATGTAGCCTTACAGACCCATTTCAACAGAAGGGAGAAAGGGCTAAAATGCACAGGCTGTTGATGAGGGAATCCTTCCTTGTTTTCTTATGGTTAGCGTATAGATGATGACCACATTTATCCACACAGTACTTTGCCTGATTTTCCATTTTTCTCTCACATTAACTTTTTTTCCCTTAATGTCAATATAGTTTATCAAACAACAGCCTTCAGCCACACTGTAGCTTCCAAATACTCACTGTATGTCTACAGTGATTTAAGAATCGTATAATCATGGTATTGACACATACAGAGGAAATATCCTTTGATCAAAGGGAGAAAAAACAGATTTCTTTTCTCTATTTACAGAAGAAATCACAACTACATGAAAAGCACACCGCTTCCATGGGGTGATCAAAGCTATAGGGCCGTCCATTGTTCATTCACTCACCAACCAGTCTGACTTCAGCCAGTTGCTGGTTGCAAACCGCAGGGGTCCTCCTGATATGCATTTGGACTAACAAAATCATCTTCACACAGAAGAGGACTGGAGGAACGGTGCTTGTACTGTCCACAGTTCTGTGAGGCTTCTGTCATTATCCTCATAGACATTCAGGGACCCAGAAACACAGCAAAACCGTGTTGTGGAAGGAGCATGTATCCTTTAATATTAATTCTATTTTACTAGAGTTGGAACAAAAATATCAAGGACATTTTTCTCCTACTTCATCCTTACTATCTGTTTCTAGTACTATAGAATATTAACATGAAGAATAAATGAGAAATGCAGAAAGGAAGAAAAAAGGAAAGATGTAAAATCAAGTTGTCACAGACAGTTTTTGATTCCACTTGCACCCTCTCAAGTAAATGAAATGTTCTCTTTTCAAATAATGTGCATGTTAGACTAATGATGCATTTTAAAATCCTCATCCATATTTACCCATCTGTTTCTATTAAGAGCTTCATATTTAATTATTTTTTCTAACTTACAACTTACAGCTAAAATGAAAAAATAAACTGAGGTTTTTTTTTTCCTCTAGCACATTCACGTTTTCTACATCAGGACGCTCAGAAATTCATGTATGTATAATACACTGTTCAAAGTAGTCTAGGGAGTCCTTTGTTACACTGTCTACCTATCTCATTTACACACACGCACACACACACACACACACACACACACACACACACACACACCTTTGCTGCAGATTCTGATTCAGAAATACACAGGGTTACTCCTGAAGACAGCATTCTTAAGACTGTCTTGGGGCCCTGATGTTCAGCAGAGTTTGTAAATCTCCTGGTAGATGACCTTCACATTTTTATTGGAATCAAAAATAATATTTTCTATGTACAGGTAAAGAATCAGACTGTATATGAATAGAGGTGTTTACACTCAGAATATAATTGAGCTTACAGAACTTATTAAAGATTGTGTTTCCCATCAGATGGATAGGGATAAAACTATAGATTCTTTTTTAAGTAAAACCCCAGAAAACTTACTTTCAGAGAGAAAATACAATTGGGTCTCTTAAAAATAGTCATTAGGTATAGAACAACAGAACTTTGAAAAAGAAAAAGGAACACTGATATTTCTAATTGGAGCAAGGACACATAGGGTGACAAAAACCAATTTGCTAATTCTATTGATTTGAACTTGTCTCACTGATATTCATGCTGTAAATGGGGCTGAGGTGGAGAGAGAAATAGAAATTTGAAAGCAAGTTTAGGAAATAGGATGCTAACATTGCCAAAAAGAGACCTAAATTGGTAGAAATTTAAAAATGATTTTCTACCAAGAAAAATAGCAGGTGACAATCATCCATTTTTTGTAACTTTTTGCTTTATGTTCATCATCACCAATTATAGGTTTTTTATATTCTGAGTCAATTTTTGAGACTATTCACATTATTTTGTTTTTACAGTATAACCCATTAATGATATTTTAAAAATTTTTATTAAAGTTGTTTATGTTAAGTTCTTTATGTTTACACTTAAGAAAAAAAAATCACTCTGTATTCCAGATAAAACACAAGAAAAACCCAGAAATTTGTGCTAGTATAAATAATGTGACAAATATTAACTTATTAGTTATAGTTTAAAACAGCAGATTTCCCTAAGTGTTCAAAAAGCTGGGGAAGGGGCGATTAATAGCTGAAATGATTGACAAAAATCTTATACTTTTCACTTATCATCTTAAACTTTTCATGTATCTTTCATTTGGAGAAATACTCTCCCTTAAAAAAATCTGCTGCAACCAGACACTGTGACACAGGCCTATTATATCGGCACAAGGGCGTTAGAGACAAGAGAACTGCAAGTGAGTTCTAAGTCTAGCTGAACTACACAGCAATACCCTGGCTCAAAAAAAGAAAAAATGTCTGGGGGGCTGGGGATTTAGCTCAGTGGCATAGGTGCCTGTCTGGCAAGTGTGAGGTCCTAAGCTCGATCCTTGATACCACCAAAAAAAACCAAAAAGCAAAAACCAAAAAACAACAAAACAAAAATCTGCTGAAATCATTCAGGAAGCAGCAGATTTGGTTAAGGAAAAAGTCCTGCATAAACTTCATATGCAATATACGTACATATTCTTTTCCTGGCCAACTGGTAATATCTACACTTGTGTTTACATGATCCATCTTTACGTACACACAGTTCCCTACAGTGTTGATCATCTTGTAGTGTCTTAAATCTTTGTGTTTTATAATTCTCTAAGGACACACTAGTTTTAAACTCAATTCCAGACATAAAAGAAATTCTCTCTCCACACCACTTTATTCATGCTTCTATTTTGTAAATACTTAAACTGAATTCATCAAAATTTTGAATTACTCTGAATTTTCAGTTATAAGAGAATGATTTATTAGACAACAGTATATAGACTATGTATATGCAATTGGTAAAATATTTATAGCCTTGGTTTTACCATGTGAAGATACAAATAAAAAACCCAAAAATACGTTTTTTGAAGATGAATGAAGTGTATTACCAACTCAACAACATTTCAACATGAACTTTGTCAGTTTGAAACAGTCAGGTTAAAATATAATCAACAATCACACACATGAGCACACACACCCTTCAAAAGAGCTTCAAAACCTGTATGGTTTAGAAGGAAATTTTCAACAAAAACATGGCCTACAAATGACCTTTGCTGTCACACAGCTGCCACTGTGCCCCGATTTAATTTTAAACAGGAAGTACAAGAATAGGATGGCTGGTGTGTTTTATTTACTTTTTCCTATTGCCTGTGAGAGTATGCTTAGCCAATTTTGGTTGTACTATCCTACAGTCAGCTGTTACTTTCTCAGTTTATCTGTCCCTTTTAACTACCATTTACAAAGTGAGTTCTCAGGAAACCTGCCTGATCAGAAAATAATTCTTCACTTTCCACTGCTTTGCTTCCAAGTAAACTGCACACATTCCTTTAAGGGCTTGATATATATTTCCCTTATCTCACCACTGCCTTTTTCTGTTTCAGTCATTTAAGCAGCAGTTACGTTTGATACCCAAAACAAAAGCCAAGTCTCCACATCTTTGTTAATTATTTAACGTTAGGAGTGGGTAACAGGAGATACCTAATGGTTCAACTGTGGGAGGTCTTAAAATCACATGAAAAGTTTGAAAGAATGTGATCGCTTTTTAATATGGAAAGGTGGGTGTAACCTTGCCTTTGTCCAGTTGTGCTTATACTGTTCGTAAATGTAAAATTTCTGCATTCTGAGATTATGATTCTGGAGTCTCTGATAAAGCTTTAGAATTCATTTTAGCAGGTACAGTGGACGATAGCTTCAAAGTGAGGCCAACTCCATGGAGCCATCAAACTATACAATAACAGATTTTCTCAAACTTTAATGCATAAGTAAGTCAGTGAGTTTCTTCTTACACTGCAGATTAAAGATTTAGTAGATCTGAGTTACCTGGGCTCAGCAGATTTTATGTTCCTACTAAGCATCTAATAGCTGCAGTGCTGTGGTGAACAGACAACTCTTCACCATTGTCAGAAAGTGGTGTTCACATCAATGAAAGTATTCATTGCATCTACTAGATTACTGAAAGTTACAGTTGTAACAAAAAATTTCATAATCTGTTCACAAACTGGGTTTCCTTTGACTTTTAAGTTGCATTAAGTTGTCAATAAGCATGCTACAGTCATAGAGGTTTGTATTTATAAAATAGTTTGTATTTATAAAATAATTGAAGCTGAGTGTTAATTCTTCAAACTATCACAGTCTTAGCAAAACTACAAAACAATAATCTGAGGTGCTGTGGGTAAATTATTGTGGCACCTTTCCAGTGCTGTTCTCACAAAATACATAGGCTTGAAGAACAGAAATTTACTTTTTGACAGTTCGGGAAGTTTGAAACTCAAGATCAGCACACCAGTAGGTTGGGTTTCTTTGGGGCTCCTCTCTTTGACTTTCAGACATCTGCCATATTGCCGTGTCTTTACATGGTCTTTCTGCTGTTTGAAACCCCAATTTCCAACTCTGCAATCTAACCTAGTATATAAACAACTCCCACACAGAAGTACTGTATAACAAATACAAAGTTTCTGCTAATCACAGGCAGCTGATGTCAGCCAATCACAGGCTGTTGCCAATCAGATGATTGATCTAATTTGCTGCTGTTTGGCCTATGAATGCTCACTGCTGATGCTGGTGGGTGGAACTTTCTGAGCTTCTTCTGGTTCCTAACCTGCAGTGTGGTCCAATAAACTGTTAAGTTTAATTTGTCCAAAGTTTTTATTTTAACTTGGGATAAAACCTTTAAAAAGGTAATTAAGTTAAAATGAGGTCATTAGCATGATCCCTGGAATGGTTCATGTCTGGATGTGCCCCCCAAACCTCACACAGTCATGGGGGATGAGCTTTGCAGAAGCAGCTGTATCTAGAGTTTGTAACTGGCTCATTGTTTAGCGCTGAGATTGGTGTGAGTGCTACATCCACCCCAGGATTAATGGCCTGCACATTACATAAGAGATGGAAGACAGCCTTGCTTCTCCACTTTTGCTCGTTGCTTTAGCTGTCTTCCACCACCGTGAAGTATTATCCCTCTAACATGCCATTCTGTCTTTCAGCCAGCTGATTATGGACCTCTGCAAGGTGTGAGCTACATAAATTTTTCCTTCTTTAATTTTGAGTGCTAGATACTGTGTCTCAGCAATGAGAAAAGTAACTAAAACCTAAAATTTGGTACCAGGAGTGGGTTTATTACTGTGACTATACCTGACCATGTGGTTCAAGGGCCTTTGGGAATGGCTTGTGGGAAGTTTGGAAAGGTTCAGAGCTGAAAAGAGCAGAGCTGGAATGCCTTAAGCTATTCTGAATGAGAGCACTCAGAGGAGCAGAAGGCAGATAGAAATCTTGCCAGTAAAGACCAGACTTGGGAGGGTTCTTCTGGGAAGAAGGACTGAATTGGCTGTTGCACTCCAGATGATGTGTTACGGCTTCACAGAAAGTTGGTCTTCATTTTGCGTATGTACAGAGATTTTGCCTAAGACTAAGCTTAAAGGTGATAGACTAAGTTGGCAGACGAAATTTCAAGGCAATTAGATGTTGAGGTGGTGGCATAGATATTGTTGGGCACTTTTAGCCAGATTTATGTTGAGAATCAAGAGCAGAAAGCTGAGCAAAATGTTTTGTGCTTAGTCAAAAAGTAAACTCAGTAAAGCTATGGACTACAGAGATTAAAGCAGAAAAGATCTCAATTGCTGAGAAGAAACAAGAGATTACAACAAAGGGCCTAAGCGCATCATGAGAAGCAATAAGTCTTCACTCTATACAGCCTCAGCATTACAAAAGTGAAAGGTCTGGCTTTGAGAAGAAAGTTCCAGAGCATCCTGTTCCAGAATTGCAGTGGCCATAACATTTCCAGAATGGCAGCAGCATAGAAAATTTGTTCCCCATAAATGGATTCAGAGTGCTCAGCAATCTAGGCATTCCACCCCTACAATCAAAAGTGAAGGAAGCCTAGCTACTGCTCTAGCTGGCCACAGACCTTGTCCTCATCCATACGGTGCTGGTTTTAGGCACATAAAGAATGCAAAATCTATGGGGTTAAAAAATCTTCCATCCCAATTGTAGTAGGCTGGAAAGCCAGACAGTGTCCCCCTGAGAGGGCAGTGTGAAGCCGTAAGGTTAAAGCCAAAGGTATAGTGAAGACTCCAGAAATTTGGAAAAGCCAGAAATATGGATTATCTAAGGAAATCTGCAAGAAGGGAGCAGAACCAGCCCAATAGAGAAGCCGTGGGAGCTACAACCACCAGAAGCACCACAGGCGCACAGTCACCCAAGCCCTTGGAGCTCACAACTTGCTACAGATGTCTCGAATATTCAAATCCTCAATGAAATCCTCAAAGGATTTAATGTTTGCCCTGCTGAATTTTGGACTTGCTTTGTTCTTATTCGTTCATATACCCCAGTATGTACCTTGGAATGAAAATGCTTATCTTGTGCCATGAATGTTGGAAGGGTTTTAACTTTCTTTTCTTTTGTACAGGGGCTTGTAGCTAAGAGTTTGCCTTACATCTCAGGGGATACTTGGGATTTGGACTTTTCAGCAACGTTGAAATTGTTAGACTTTGACAACTCTTAGAGATGGATCAAATGACTTTTGCATAAAATGATGTGCGTGAGTCTGGGAGAACAGAGTGGAATGTGTGGATGTCCTCCCAAGGCATCATACAGTCATGCTTTGGGGCAGGCTTTGCAGAGGAAGCCAAATCTAGAGTTCATGATTGGTTCATTGTCTAGCGCTGGGATTAGTGAGTGCTACACTGGCCCTACTGCTAACCTGCATGTAATGTAAGGGATGGAAGAAAGACTTGCTCTTTCCTTTTTGCTCTTGTTGCTTTTGTTGTCTTCAACCAGCTTGAACTGTTGGCCCTTTGCCATGCCAGCCCCTTAGAGCCAGTTGATTATGGACTAAAGCCTCTATAAACTGTGAACTAAATAAATCTTTACTTCCTTCATTTGGGGCATTGGGTATTCTGTCTCAGCAATAAGAAAAGTAACCAAGACAGTCCCTAACTCAATCTGAGTGACATCTTTGTAAAGGGAGGAAGCTGTAAGAGTCACTACAGTGTGCAGAGAGGGTCAATCTTGTGAAGAGGAAGAACAGTGGCAGCTACCTGCAAACCTATGGAAGGAAAATAGCCCTGCTGACATCTGCAGCCTGCAGTTCCAGCCTCCAGAAGCAAAATTCTGTTGCTTAAGCCAATAGTCTGTGTTGTTCCATACAGCAGCTAGAAAACTAACACCAACCGTTATGTCTGTAGGCAATAGGAACCCATGCAGGACATTTCCAAACAACACAGAGTTTCTATCTTCATTCTCACTCTGTGAACTATGCCCTCATCTCTTTGACGTCACTGAAAAACTTCTAAATATAAACTAACACTGGTGCATACCCCCAATATGCATTATTATTCGGCAAACATAGGGGGAAGAACAGATTACTAAGAAAGAAATTCTAAAAGTCGTTCTAAAAGTCCTAGTACTCCATGTCATGATTAACTGGAACTAAACAGTTCAGGTGAGTAATAAGTTTTAAATATTCATTAAAATAGGCACATAGTTGCAAATAATTAAAGATGAGAATGCCCAGATACTCAAAAATAAGCCTTACCTTTGTTTTGGGTTCTAGAATTTTTACTCCATAAATTGATATTTGCAACTCAACTTTAGGAATTTTCTGACCTTCAGATTTCTTGATGTGTCTTGCAAACTACAAATGAAAAATTATTCACAAAACTGTAACTCTATTTTTATGGAGAATGAGCATAAACAAATGTACATTTGGGTGTTATATTCAATGTAAGACTTTCATTATTATTAATGAATTATTGAATTATTACACATTATAAAGTATTTTTACTTATATAGTAAAGTATTTTTACTTAACAATCATAGAATTCTACCATTATAAGTCAGACTGGTTTTCAGTCATTTTGAAAAACATGATATTTGCTGTTTTTTCAGGATATCTGTGAAATTGAATTCACACTGAACAGTTGAGCAAATGAAAACTTTCTGGAATGATAAGCAGAGATAATTTTATTTTTCTAAGCATCTTTTGTTTTTAATACCTTTTGACAACTCGCAATTGCCAATAGTTGGATATCCCATTTTTACTAATGTTAAATATTTATTTAGTTGACAGCACTGATTTGGTTTTATTTCAAACATACCAATAACTAAAAAAAGACAGACTGCCACATTCAAACTGAAGCTAAGAGTGAAAACAGTGAAGACTCCGGTACAGATATAACCCAAAGTCTAGAATTATAATAAATATCCTCAAAACATAACATTTTCCCAATACTTGCAGAAGTAAAGGCGCATCTTTTTTAGTGTTTTCACTAAACTGAACCGCAAACATCTTTTCACTGAGTTAATTAAGTAAACATAAATGCTTCTTAGATACTGTTTAAAAACCAACAAAAAAATCAGAATACTCATTCACCTAGATATGTCGCTGCCTCACCCAAGTTCTAACAGATTAAGTGGTGGGAAAACTGTAGGAGCCCAGTTATACTGAAATTTTAAATAATTAATATACTTAAAACCCTTTAGACTACTATAGTCACTACACACATGATACATGAAATATGTGCCGATTAATATAACAATCCCCATTTTTTAAAAAAATGTTATTCACCATTTATCTAAAATTCAGTGCTTACTAGTTTTCTAGATTTTACCTGGCAACCCCTCTGCTTCCCTACACTCTTGAAGAATTTCTCTGCAATTTCTTTTCTTTCTAAGAGAAGAAAGGAAAGCTATTTTTAAGTAGTGTTTTCATACTTTTGAAGGTGTTCAGGTGTTATTTTCTACTACAACATTCTTCTCAGCACATGGAAAATCATGAGGTGACTCAAAATAGATCCCTCCGACGGCAGGGCAGGGCTCAGCCCTCTTGAATGTCGGATTTATCTGCATCTTGCTTTTCACCCTGATCCAGGGCAGCTGTGGGTGCACACAGTGTAATACAGTTCTGGAGCGGAGAGGGTCAAAGCTTCTGCTCCCTTCCTGCCTTTCTACCGCCGGGGAGAGTCACACACAGGACCCTCAAATGTCTGCCTCATCTTCCAAGGAAGCCATTTCTTTCCTTCCATTTGGGGTGGCAAGATCTTTCAGCTTGCTGGCCTTCCTGTTTTATGAAAGTACACAGCTTTTTCTCCTTTTATTTTGTACCCATCAGTCTCACATTCTGCACATAGTTTGACCAACTTGTGCCAGAGAATTTCTATTTTCAGTCTTTAAGAAATACGCACTGTTTCAATCTACATGGGACATCATTGCACCTCTTCCTGAAGAATGAGTATTTATTTTCTTTTGCCTTCTTAATATCCTTCCTGTACTGGCCTATTTTAAACAATTTAAGGTTTAAACACAGACTGAAGCTCTCCAGCTATGTAAAATCATCTGAGCAGAGAGAGTTCCATTGATCTCAACTTGCTTCCTCTGTGCCTCTGTTTTCCAGAGACAAAACAGGCGGTGGCTCTGAGGCCTTGTCTCTGTCTGAGCACAACTGTTTCTGTGACCTCCAACAAGAATTTGTTTATCTTAGAGAAAGCCTACCAAAAAACAACCAGGGATGCCAAACTCCTCTGTGGAGAAGGGAAGAATGGAAGAAATGGAGACAGAAAGGAACCCGGCCTGATGGTAGAAAAATAAAACACAGGAGGGCTAGGAAGGAAGGACATGTGGGGAGAGACAGAGGAAGGGAGAAGAGGAGCAGTGACGGGAGAAGGGAAGAGGGACGCGCTGCAGCTCAAGGTGACAGGCCTGGGCTCAATCTCCAGCTGTAATTTGGAGTGTCCGAAGACATCAGAACACATGCCGGTCAATCTATCCTGTATCATGTTGTTTTCTCTCTATATTTACAATGTTAATGCGTGAAGAATTTCTCTGCAAGTCTGTTTCCAGTTTTGCTTTAGTGGATTCATTTCTTGGCAGATCTAGATAGGGTGATTTGAAGGGAAATGATCCAATAGAAAAATGTTCAAAGGGCTTGAAACATAAACATCCTGGACAATATCTGGATATCACAAGCAAGCTAAGGCTGTGTCCCATGAAGGATTATCTGAAAAGTAAAAACTGCTCAGTTAAACACCACCGCCATGTAACTGCTAATGAAAATTGAAAGGAGGCAGTGAACTTCAGTGCCATCCTTAGGCCATCGCGATCCATTTTCAAAGGACTTTTAGAAAAGTGAAATCCAACTGTATTACTAATGGGACCTACATCATCGGAAAGGAACATTACTATTTTAGGCAAACTATTCTTTGAGTTTCTGACATTTAACTTTTTAAAGTGTTCATAGCAATCATGTGAGGAAATCAGCCATATATGCATACATTATAATTAAGCTGTAAACATCTTATTGGATACCAGTTGTGAAGACAGAACAGAGCCAAGCTGCACAGAGTAAGGTCGAATGGAGAAGCTGTTGGCTGAGACTAAAGGCAAAGTGAATTCCCAAAGCCCCAGTTCTCTGAAGAAAGCTTAATTAATTTTAATTTCGTTCCATTGGCGTGAACTCCTCTAACGACAGGGCCCCAGCGTGCTACCCCAGCTCATTTCCCAGGAAAACTGACAGCTTTTCGAACCTTCGGGCCAAAGCTTTTCACACAGCAACATCACGAGCTGTTCATGAAATTACACAGCTTTCTGGCATCTGTGTGAGTTACGTGAAGAAAACCAGATAAACTCATCACAATAGTAAAGCTACTCAAATCACAAGAACTGATAAGGTTCTTGTGAATTCACTTTGCCTTTAGTCTCAGCCAACAGCTTACATTTTGAAATATCTGGTACTAAACGTTGGGCTAAAACGTAATTAAGGAAATTAGAAAATATTGAACATGCTTCACAAAATGGGACACATTTTTCTGACAAATAAACAATATCAGAGTAAAACCCAATGCTTGTAAAATTGTTACACAGAAGAAAACTATAAACTATTCCTTTTCCATAAAACAGCAGAGAAGTACTAAATAAAAAGTCAAAGTTTTAAAAATTCTCTGAGAACTAAACAAGTATCATGAAACACAGAGATATGAGAGATACATTATTGAAAAATCCAATTTTTCTCTCAGCTCTACGCTTAAGTCTTGAATTCTGGATTTGGGCTAAGACATTACAATCTTTACTAAAAGTAAGTAAATGTGGTTAAATGTTACCTTAGCTGTCAAAGAAAATCAAATAACAAACCACAATAGGTTTTCAAAGCTGTCAGAAAACACATGTTTGAGAAAAATCAGCAAAAAAATCAAGAAAATTTGTGTGCAGTTGGTTATAATGAGCAAATTCTTTTTCAGTGGAACCACAGCACCACCTGCTGGCTACTTTCATACCACGAAATTTAAGAGGAGCCTGGTTCCGTATTGCAAATCTCTTGACACTAATTTTAGAAAACACAGTAAAAATAATAAAAAATCATTTTTTCATCCTAATTAGTAACAGAATCTTTCCCTTTCCTAAGGTGCAAAATACTTTCTATTAAGAAGAGTAAAAATTATTTTTAAATATGTATTTATTTGCTAGATGCTTGAAAGACAAAAATAACTATCAGTGTACATTTTTAAATTATACTGCTTGATTTTATCTTATTTTAAATTACATTACTTTTTCAACAGAGCACATATTACAAGTATTAAAATATATACCAACACCACATAAAATCCTACAACAGTGTATGTAAGCTAGCCATTGTTTAATTTCAAATATCTTTTTACATTTGACCTAGGAGTAATGTAATTGAATTCTTCAGTTTTATATTTGGTTGACTGAAGAAAGCACTCTCTTTAACATAAAGAACCTCTTAAGTTTAAATACTGTGGTTTTTTTTTATAAAACTTTGAGATTTTAGTGAGTTTGGGCTCATGCCCAGAATTTGTAACATTTTGAAAACATTTAAATAGAATCCTATTTTAAATATTATCCATAAGCCATAAGACCTTTAAATTTTTTACAGATAATTAAAATTACTGGACAAGCAAGAGGAAGTCTGAATTATTATCTAATGGGTAGTGCAAAGCAATGGCCACTTAGGCCACCTGTTTTTGTCCATTTAAGTCATTAGCACCAAAACAGGTGCACCTTGAGACTAGGTTAAGTGAAATAAAACAGATCTAGAAGCTTAAATGGTGAATGGTTTCCCTTTATATAAGAAGCCCATACAGACATAAATCAAAAAGCAAAATAAATAATAGATATAGGGGACAGGAAGATAAATCTTTTTCAGATGGGGATGGGCAATGGAGGGAGGATGTGGGAGAGTGATAAAAAAATTGAGACCTGCCCTACGCATGTCCCAACACGCCCTCAGCAAGTGTTTAAAATTCAATAGCATATTTCCATATTAGCATAATTCCATGTCAACATTTTATTGCTTTGCTATTATGAAATTTACGGCAAATGTAGTCATTACGTATGGCAGTCAGGTACTAGTAAAGATAATAAAATGGGACCAACATTTTCTTGGGATCCTTTAACACATTTAATTAAAAGAATCAGATAAAATACATACAAAACAAAGAGACAAAATATTACCTACATTTTAAAAATCCATTATATAAGCCAGGCCACTTAAATTTTCCCTTAATTTAAACTCTAAACAGTTTCCCCCAAGCCTGATATTCAGAAAGCAAGGTAGTGTTCTGAATGTTCCTGATTTTGCCTGGAACAATCGTAGCTTTAGCCTGTGAAATACCTGGATGGTCCTTAAATCAAACATATTGATTCTTTAAAAATGTGAGAGCAGCCTTCATAATAACAGTCAGCTGTGTAAACCAAGATGACAGTATAGTTCCCCATACAGTAAAGATGGGAGTTCTGTTGGAAGAGTTCGCCAATTTTAAAATCCCAGTGAAACACAGAGCATACAATAAACCTGCGTGTTTTATCTTACATTAGATTTTTATTCGATGTCCTACTCTGCTCTCTCACTGAAACCAGGTTCCCAAGGATGTCATGGGCAGAGCCAAAACCTCTGGTCTGCGCCCATCTGGGCATCTTTAATATACAGCATCAATGTAAAATCCTGCTTTGCAGCCATTTTTTCCTCTGTATTTTCAAATGCTGGATGTGAGGCTCTTTCCCACTGTTGAGCTGGGGGTGAGTTTACATCGTTTCAACGAAGTCTAGTGCCACTGAGCACCAATGCTTATGAAATAGTACCCCTAAATCACTTTTGTGATAGTGAGCAGCCATACTTTAGAAAAATAAAAATATGTCATATAAAGAAACATAATCGTGTGCTCATATGTACAGTTAAAAATTCCTCCTTGATCGGATGACACACTTATTGTTAAAAGTGCCTCCTGTTCGATAGTTCATTTTTAACAGGATCAGTTGTACCTGCCACCAAGATACTTAATGCTTCGATTTCTAGGCGTGTCTCAGAAAGGCTTCCGTACCTTTAGTTTCCGTACAGCATCTCGCACAACTTCTGTCCCTTTCGGCTGCTCCACTTCTGCACTGCCAAGAAACTGAAAAAGGTCGTGCATGAGACTCCAGCTCTAGTACATTATTTATAGTCACCAGACCATACCGAGCTGCCCACTGCATCACGAATGGTGTCGCAGTAACAGACACAAACCCATGTGAAATGGAAGAATTATAAAGAGTATACCCCGTGATCATGCATAATTCCTGTAATTCGAACTTTTAAAAATCACACATTTCCTAAAAAATTTACTTGCTGATTTTTTTTTTTTTTTTTTTTTTTTTTTGGTAGTACCGGGGATCAAACTCAGGACCTCATGACTGCCAGGCAGGCAGTGATACTGCTGAGCTAAATCTCCAGCTCTACTCACAGATTTGTATTGGAAAGAAAACTAAAATTACTTAATTTGGTCCATGGGAATAAAGTTGATCATGGCAGTGCACACAGTAAACATACAATTAAAAATTATATGTGAATTCAAAGTATATAAATACTTTCATTATTGTGTTTAAAATTCAACAGCATATTTCCATATCAACATCATTCCATGTCAACATTTTATTGCTTTGCTATTATGAAACTCAGAACACACAGAATTTAAAAGAAAAAAGTTTCTAATATCCAACTTACACCATTCAATCTTGAAAATATACATGATCTACAATTTAATTTGAAAACGGCACTGAAGGTAGTTACTGAAAGTGTTTACTTAAAATTTAACCAATCTGAACTAAGAAAAGTGAAGTTTTCTAATAATTCCTACATCTAATAATTCCCACATTGCAGTGAAGTGTAGAACTACAGAGGGACATAATACCTCCTGAATCAAGTCCAAAGTCATGAGACACTCAATACCAATTAATATTAAAAGAAAGGTTTTATTCCTGAAAATATCTCCATGTATATTTCAACAACAATCCACTAAATTTATAGAATATATATAATTTTGCAGAGACTTATTTGATTTTGCACCTACCTCCAACCACAACACTAAAGACAGCCATGAATTAATCACTTCTCACGTGTACAGACCAGACAGGTGTGTGACAGTGTGCGTGTACACTTCCCCTTAAGTGATTAAGTGGGTCGTTAGTTACAGAAAGTGAATTTGTTGAAACAGTTTCAAGGACGGCTTTATAGAGCAGAAGAGTGAAACGATAAAGCCATGATACCTCTTACTCTTTCCTCAAAGGACTGCACTCCCCGTACTAAAATGCATGGAAGAGACTCAGACATTCGTTAACAGGTTCGGAGGCTGGTGGAAGGGAGTGAGGAGGGTGATTTGGGTTCAGGGCAGATACCCGCTGCTCCTGTTTGGATGATGACATGGAGGAGAGAAGATAAAGCTGTCCCCTAAGAGGCAAAGGGAGGGTTTACTTCTCTGATTCTATTAGGTATGAAGCTTTCCTTTTGGAATCTGCTCAAATAATGATACCAAGCAGCCGCTACTGGGTCCTAGATAAGGTATCTCAGGCTTTTAGGTGCCCCTTTGTGGCCTCAACTTGTTGGTCAACCAGCCCACATATTAAAAAAGGAAAAGAGACATTCCTAAGTGGAACTGAATGCCTGCCTCCAAGATGCAGGGATGCACATCCATTCCTCTCCGCAGTGGGCTTCTCTCTGGTCTCACATCAGTGTTCTTAAACGTGGCTGCATGACAAATTCACAGATTTAAACTTAGGATCAATGCCGGAGGTCAGACTGAGCTGGCCTGGGGCAGAGCCAGAACATCCGTATATATTAAGGCTCCCAAGGTGATGGGAGCCACCAGGTTTCACCAGCCAACCATGCTGGGAAAGCATCATCATTGTTAGAACATCTTTGTTCAAAGATGAACAAAGCGTGCAAGGTACGTTGGAGTGAAGCCACAGGAGAACTTGTAAACTCCCCTGCGCTTATCACAACACAGAGAGGTTCACAAGTAGCAGGTGGTCCAGTATTGGGGGAGATAAAGGCAGATTCTTTACGCACAAGTGATGAATGGGAGGACCGCATGTGTCAGTAACAGACTGTAAGGGCAGCTGGCCACACCTGTGGAAAAATGGTCCCACTTCAGCAGACATGTCATGAGTATCACCTGCAAATAAGCACGTATGGGAAGATAATGGAAGAACTCCAAGCATATTGCAGAAGCCACCCTAGGAACGCTTCAGGAATCTTTTAATATGTTTCTTTATTCTTGGCTTTAATTAAGCCAACTCAGTAATAAAACTATGGCAGAAACTTTGAATGATGGTGGGAATTACACTAAAAGGCATTTTTAATGTGAAACTCCCTTTTTATCTTTGCAATTAATGCATACTTTTTAAAACCAAAAAACAAGTTTACTCTTTTTATTTATTTCTTATAGCTTTTTAAATGATAAAGTCATGATCTTACCTAAATTAAATGTCGTATTTAGATGCCTTTTATGCTTACATAAAATATTTATAAAATTCTTAATCATGATGTATCAACATCAGAAGGAGCTCCTGGCTTAGAATTTGAAGATGTCAGAAAGTCATTTAATCTCTGCATTATTTGACCACTAGTAAGTATAATAACACTGATCTTCTGACCCTATAGAATAATTCTAAAGTGCGATTACAGTAAGCAATGAAAGGAAAAAGAAGCAGAAGCTGGGAAGAGCTTTATAATTGGAAGAATTGCTATACCTTTATCCAATGATTGCCTGGGGAAGACATGATGATTCTGTAGCGATGATCAGGGTTGGCTCAGCTCTCCGGGGATCTATTTGTTTCGCTCTCACACTCAACTCCAGCCTCCACAGCCTGAGCTGGGCATGGCTCACACTCAAGGCCTCCACCGCCTTCCTTTTGGGCAATCACTTCACCTTCCCAATTCTGAAGTACTTGACAGAGTTGTGCAAAAATATGCACACACATGCACACACACGTGTGCACCCTATACCATAATTTCCCTGTTCCCCAGCCAATGTCTGAAACAGTAAAACTTCACTATGCCTGGAGGTGCATAACTATGTGCAGTGCAGGGAGCTCTCCCTTAATTAGTTATATGCACCCAAATCTGTGCCTTCGTGGATAATCTGAGAAGAACCAACCTTAGACACTGCTTTTGTGGTTAAAAGCTTACATTCTGGAGATACGCTATCTGCTGTACAAACCTTATCTCTGAAACGCTCTGTCATAAGTGTTATTAAAAAGCTTGCACAAACTACACAGATTAAACATAAGATTGTGATTTTCATGCTCTCCTACTTGGTGACAGAATGATTGAAAAAGGAGAACCGAGTGATCCCCTGGATGGGGAGTCACTGCATCCTATCTCGCTGGAAGAGCTGTACACTGAATGGGGCCAAGGGAGCTGAGGGCTGCAAAGTGCCCAGCATAGTTGAGTGCAGGACTGAGACCCCCACCTGAAATAAGGGCACCATGCTTCCTTTTAGTCCGAATGCTGTACTGAGTGACTCCCCCAGCCCTTTACTTGCCTGACCCCCAGGATCTAAGATGCCAGCCTTATAAGTCTCTGGACAGGACAATTCTTCCCTGGGGAAAGTGGCCCAAGAAGAAAACAATTCAACCTAATTGAGTTGGAGTTTCACATCAGATAGAGCAGGCTGCGAGCACAGCAGAGAACGAAACAGAGCATGTGCTCTGTTCTTTAGGAACTTACATTCTCGTGGGGGAGATAAAGCAATAAACAGTAGCAAGCATAATAACTGAATAGCATTTTAGAGTAGCCAGGATAGAGAACAGGATGGGGGGGGGGTGGAATCTCGCAGCATGCTAAGTGCATCTCTGGGTCGCTTCTCTCTCTGTGCCACAGTAAGATGACCACAGGGAACCTCATTCATAAAGCCAAAGGTGAGTCAATCAGAAAGGTAATGATCAACCGGAGATTTAGGGAAGGAAAGGCCAGGCAAAGGGAACAGAAGGCACACAAATCAGATATTTTTAAAATTTAAAATAGAACAATGTAAGAACTGGTCTAGAATCATTTACTTTTTAAAATTTTGTACCTGGACTGCTAACATCAACATTATCTGTGAAACTGTAATAAATAAAATTTTACTGTATCAGAAACTCTAGTATTGGGGCCAGCAATTGGTTTCAATATTTCCTCCAAGAGATGCTCATACATGCTTAAATGTGAGAATCACATTCCTAGGAAGTTCAGCATTAAACCACACAGAGTCCAAGAAACAGAGAAAAGAAAACCCCAAAGGAAGAAAATCATCATTTCTCCAGAATCAAAATTAAGAATTTCAGAGTAGAGGCTCAGTTAAATAAAAAATAAAAATAAAAGATCATCTGAAATGCTAGAGAAACACAATCTCCCCCAGGATCACAGATATGAATTACAGCAGATGACTGCATGTCAGCAAGAGGAAGAAACTTCAAATTCAGATGGAAAGTAGTTTGGAGTCAAGTTTATAGGCCTTGTAGAAAAAAACAAACAAACAAACAATTGCACTGACCAGTGCCTGGGCCCACAATGTTGTCCTCCCAAGTCGTACCACAGTTGTTGTCCTCTCTCAGTACCACAAAACAAAACAGAAGCAAACTAGCACAAGAAGAAATGGAACTCAGGAACAGGGAAGACATGGCAAGGGTACTGGCTGTCACGATAAACAGGACACGGGAAGCACAGCAGTGGGGCAGGCGACTCAGAATCAGCAAGTCACGGAAAGAAAAGCAGGAAAGTGAACCGCATTGGCTTCAATGAGACTTGGATGCAGATCTGAGGACAGCTTGGGGTTTCTGTTTTGTTAGTTTTTGTTGTAATCCCTAAAGAAATAGTCACGGTGGACAGAGATTTCTTTGATAAAATAAAAGTTAAAAGTCACTAAATGATAGCATCCACTTGGCATGTTACTGTGGGAAGTCCTGTAATTGGCTGCCACCTTAAATCTACAGGCAGCAGCTACGTTAACCCCCTCTAGGGGTTAAATTTGGTAGTTAAACTTCTCTCCTTGCGTAGTCTGTTTGGCCCATTAGGGATTATGCTAATCAGCCTGCCTTGTGAGCCCATATGCAGGAGATTTGAATTACCCTATAACCCTAGGTCTTGCTACTATTGCTA